ACTTTGTTTGTAACTCTGTATTGTCTGTATTGTGCTTGTGATATGTTGTAAAATGTTGTATGTCTGTTAATGTTTCCCTCCTTTTATCCTTAAAATAAAAAAAAAATAAAAAAAAAATAAAAAAAAAACTGAATGGAATTTATACTTTAGTTCTTTAGTGTCACTTGCCACATATCAAATGCCTGACATGCATTTAGCAGTTTTTGTACTGAACAGTGAAACTGTAGACTATGTCCTTCCTGCAGAAAGCAATATGGAACTAGACAAATAGTAACAATGTATTTTTTTTTTTTTTTTTTCCCCTCCGGTACCGGGAACCGAACTCACGACCTTGCACTTGCCAGGCAGGCGCTTTTGCCGCTGAGCTAAATCCCCAGCCCCCTAACAATGTATTTGTAGGCATGTATTTACTCTGGTGTCTGGAGTCAGCCTATTCTCCTTTGAATGAGCTGCTAAGTTTAGGAATTTTATCAGGTGGTTGTCATACCATTGTACCTTCAAATTGACCAAAATGAAATTATGTCACAAAAATGCTATGAATTAGGGAAATTTTTGAGACGGAGACTGTACGTTACTAGATGGACATTGTACATGATCATATAAACATATCTTTTCTCTGTTTCATGTAAATATATTTAACTTTCATAACGATGTTCTTTGAGAAGATCTATAAGTAAAAAATCTACAGTTGAATAAACACACCTGAGTCCCACTTTTGCTTTCTAAATGATTACTTTAAAAATAAATGATTGAAAGGAAAAGAATCAGAAGGGCCTCAGAAGCCCAATCAAAAGGGCTTCCAGTGGACAAGCCAACAGAATTTGAATATCAAATAAAAAATAAATAGTAATGGAAAGAAAATAAGTATATTGTCAAGATTATTCAAACAAAAGAATGAGAGAGAAAGATAGGAAAATAAAGTAAAGGAAAAGAAAGGGTGTGAAGGTGAGGGGAGGGAAAGGAGGTAAGTTGGGAGGAGGGAAGAAGAGAGAGGAGAAATGGGACAGGGAGGTGGGAGGGAAGGAAAGATGGGGAAGGTAATGAAAGAAAATAAGGGGAAGGGAAGGGGGAGTGAGGGTAGGAAAGGAGGAGGAAAGAAGGAAGGAAAGAAAGAGAAAGAAGGAGAAGGAAGAGGAAAAGAAAGAAAGATTGAAAGAAAGAAGGATAGATAGAAAGAGACAGGCATGCTGGCTCTTTCTTATACTGAAAAACTAACCTATAAATATCTAAGAAATGATGGAATTAGAAATTCATCACTTTGTAACAATCACAGCAATAATGGTTTTCTTCAAAAATCATCCACAGATGATAAAGCTGGTAGATGAAAGCATAAAAAGAAAGATTAATACAGTTCCAAAGGTTTTCCTCACAAGGTACTTATTAATTATGAGAGGAAAATTAAACACTTTACAGCATACTAGGCTAGTGAACACTTTGACCATGTATTCATGGTGAAGAGCACCACTACTCAGAGATGTCCCTTGTTGTTAAATGTATAGGTGCAAATTTCCAGGCAGAGATTCTGATTCAGTGGGTCTGGATATGTCTGATAACCAGCATTTGTTCTGATATAGGTGACCCAAGACCACTGATGATATCCAGGCTTGAAATTCTTGTGTACACTGACTTTGATATTCGAACATGACAATTCATGCTTCTAGAATGTGCCTCTGACTACCATATATAATATCCATTTGTGTCCTGCAATTTTCCAGAAACTTTTTGCTATTTGAAAACCTTCCCGTACATTTCTAGAACAATCCCCATTCTCTGAACTTCCCCATCATTAGACCTTGGGGCATTCTCATTTACCTTTATGAGACTCCGTGTCTTTGGAATTCTGGGAGTTTATCATAAGCTGCAGAAAATCCACTCGGTGCTAGAAATAGAGAGTTTTCAAAGCCAGAATGTTAATCATGACCTCAGAAGTAAAACAGTACAGTACAGTACAGTACAGTGCATTATATAATTTCCTTCTGCGACTATGAAACCTTGCTCAAGTTTCTTGCGTGATTGGTGAAAAAAACACTGAGCAACAAACTTTAGAGAACAGGACTTTTCCCTGAGTGAAAACCAGACATTGTGTCCAGCAGCTTTGCCTCTGACTTCCCTGATCCTGACTTGTTTGGTTCCTGAACACGGATTCTTGGCCAGACAGTGGCAGCTCCTTCTCCTGTCACACCTGCATCCTTAAGATGAAGTCATAGATGTTAATCTTTCGTTCTCCTGGCTTAATTCTTACCCAGTGTCCTATAGATTAATCTGTCATTCCCAAGCTCATCATCAGGCATTAGGGGCCCAAATTGAAATAGTCCACCATCCTGCAATACAGTGAAATTTTTAGTGATACCCAGTTATACCTCCCTGACCTGAGAACATCCCTGTGATGGTGCACAGCCTGCTTGAGGGAAAACCATGAAGCCCGGAGAAGTCCTATGGGCACTCAGGGTCATGAGGGGCTCAAATTTTATCATAGAAAAAACTGCATCAGGTATCCTCAAAGGCCTTCCATTAGGTAATATGAAAAATAAAATGATTATTTATGAATATAAGATCTGAAAGTAAAGTGCCTGGGAATGAAGGTATAAATAGAATTTTTTTTTTTCTTTTTTGGTTTTTCTCTGGTACCGGGAACCGAACTCATGACCTTGTGCTTGCCAGGCAGGCGCTTTTGCCACTGAGCTAAATCCCCAACCCCATATAAATAGAATTTTTATCCATGGAAGGACTAGAATATGGTAAAGTTTGTTGTTTTTACTTAATTTATTTTTAACAAACAGAGATAAACATGAAAATTGTACTAATTAATGGGGCATTATGTATTTTCATACATGTATACATTGCATAATGTTTAAATCATTTTAAATATGCCTATCTCCTCATACATTCATAGCTAATGGTGCAAACTGTCAAAATCCTTTTTTCTAGTTATTAAAAATGTATAGTACAGTATATTTATCTATAGCCAACCTACTGTACAATAGCATATGAGAACTTCTGGGTCTTACCTAACCTAAGTTGGTATTCACAGATCAATATTTTTCACCCTCTTCCAATTCTCCTTGTCCTCTGGTGATCACCATTCTATCCTCAACTTCTATGAGATCAATGTTTTTTAGAGTCCACATATGAATGAGAGCATGTAGTACTTGTCTTTCTGTGGGTGGTTTAATTCACTTAGCACAACAATATCCTGTACCATCCATGTTGCAAGTGACAGGATTCCACTCTTTTTAATAACCAGTCTTTTTAATAGCTGGGATATTTCAAGATGGGTCCCTAACACTTGCTAATGAGTTCTGAAAATGGAAGATTATTCTATCAGCCACTGTTTAAGAATTAAGACCAGAGAACGGAAGATTAACATCTTGGACTTCATCCCGAGCAAGCAGGTGTAATAGGACAAGTAGCTGCCATGGTGTAATTATGGGGAAGCCGAGAGAATAGGGGTTGTCCTAGAAATGTACAGGAGTGTTTCCAAACAGAAGTTTATATATGTAACACAATTTATTTATCCATTCATGAGCTAATGCATAGTTAAACTGTTTCCTTTTCTTGGCTATTGTGAGCATTGCTGTAATGATATATGGCAATACAACACTCAGTGTTGGTAATATATACAATTATTATGTGTCAATAAAAACTTGTAGAAATAGCAATGCTATGAAGATGGGAGTATAAATGTCTTTTCAATGTATTGCTGTGTTTCCTTTGAATATATACCCAGTAAGAGAATTGCTAGATCATATGGTAGTTCTATCTTTAATAGTTTAAGAAATCTTGTGTGTTTTTCCATAATAACTCTTCTAATTTACATTTTCTTCAATAATGTGCAAGGTTTTCTTTCTCTGGAATTTTGTAAAGGTTTTATCTCAACAATATTCATGCCATGACAAACTGGTTGTCATACCTATCATTTAATTTTAAATGCTTTCTTTTTGACTCATCCTGCACTCTCCCTAAAATGTGGGAGCTCTCTTTCTCTTAAAATTCTCTACCTAACTTCATATTTTTATTTTTTTTACTAATACATGTTTGCAGTGGGTGCAGTTTACCATCATCTTAGAGAATGGGTACATGTACTTAACACAGATTGATTCTTTTTTTAGTCTTTCCCTCCTCCTCTAAATCCCCTTTACCCATTTTTGTTCTTGTTGATATTATTAATCTTATCTTACATTTATGACATATAATGTTTACAGTCACTTAGGCTATTAAGTACCTGTACATGGCATAAGATAATACAGAAAAGTGCAGAAATTGTATGTATAAGCTAGGCATGGTGGTGCCTATCTGTAAGCCTAGCACTTTGGAAGGTTGAGAGGAAGGAGTTGCAAATTCGAGGTAAGCCCAAAAGGTTTAGTAGTGATTTAGTGAGATTCTTCTCACAATAAAAAGTTCTGGGGATGAGTGTGTGTGTGTGTGTGTGTGTGTGTGTGTAAGAGAGAGACAGAGAGACAGACAGACAACAAACAGACAGACAGAGACCGAGAGAGAGAGAATCAGAAGGAAGAAAAAGAGAGACAGGGAAGGAAGAAAGAAAGAAGAAGTCACATGGATACAGTCCAGTAAATTGTCAACAAGTGAATACCCACATGCAAATGCCACCATATTTTACCTTTTGTTTCTCTTTGAGGCGACTTTCTTTCATCCTTGCAACAGATTTTTTAAAAAAATCTGTAACATCTCTTGGAAACATGGAGATATTTAATGCATCCAACACTGGTGTAAGAAATGGAAACAATACTACAGGAGAAAGATAAAAGGAAACAGTGAAAATACAAAATTTACCTGGAGCGATTACATTCATACACCACTAAGTTTAGTAAGTTATCAGGATCCTCATGTGGGAGGCATTCCTTCATTGGCCTTTCTTTGGGCTGCAGGCTATTGCCTGAACAAAGCTACATCACAAAGGGCCACCATGGCGGCAGTGCTGTCAGCGGCCCTATCTGAATTGATCAAAGGAGCAGGATTAAACACCTTGACCTCTTATCCTTTTGTGTATTATTAGAAACAGTAGCTTTGCACAAAGCAGGCTTTAATCTGGTGCTATAACTAATTATGTTTTCCAAGAAAGAGCAGTGAGGGTAGAACTAATGCAGGATATGTTTCTGGGCTAGCATACAATGAAACAAGGTGTAAATAATTGAGAAGTTAAAATATATGAAAATTAATAAATACACACATAAATAAACAATGAATCAAAGGAAAAATAAAAAGGATTGTTACAAACTGGCTGAGATTAAAAAAATGAAGAATCAAACCAGTGTATGATGAATAAAAAGCAGAGCTCAGAGGGAAAGTTGTAGCTATTCAGTAGTAGAGATCTCCAATTAAAAATCAAACAACATCATAGCTCACTAAAGAAAAAACAGCAAATACACCTAAGCAAACAGAACAAAGAAAATATTAAAGAATACACTGAGATCTAATGCAATGAAAAAAAAAAACCACAACTGAAGAAATTAGTGAAAACTAATAATACTTTAAAAAATCAGCAAAATGTTACCTATATTTACCCAGAAATAAAAAATGACTGAAGTTACTAGCATCCAAAGTCAAAGAACAGAAATAAGTTTATGAAAAATTAATGCACTTTGAGACCATAATGTTAAATGAAATAAATCAGACACAGAAGCTTAAATATTGCATATTTTCTCTTATGCAAGAAATCCAAATTATAAGTAAAAAGTAAAATAAAAGATAGATAATCAGAAATAGAAAAATAGATCTTTTTCAAATGGGAAGGAAATGAAGAAATGAGGGAGAGAGGGGAGGGAGGGGGGACAAAAGAAGAATTGAGATGTATTAGGCACATGTAACAATTTCCTTCAAGGAATGTAACCAGAATATACTTCAAATATATACTAATTAAAAAATAAAAATTGAGAAAAGAAAATTCTATGATTTCAAAAGAATAGGGAGGTCTATAAAGGAATTTTGTTAAAATCTGGATTATTAGAACAATGATATAAATAATACAACATTAAATGGATGAAGTCAGATAAAAACATAAATTACAGAAAATGACTCAAAAAGAAATATGTGTACACCATATGCAGAGACCTATAACATGCAATGAGGTAGAATTAAAAATCAAGAGCTATCTACAAAGCAAAGCTCAGACATGAATGGTTTCAATGGTGCATTTTAACAAATATTTAAAGAAAAACTAACAGAAATGATTTAGGAATATGTCTGAAATACAGGAATGAACACTTTCCCAAAATTTTCATAATGTCACTATTACCCTAATATTAAGAACAAAGATTCCACAGGAAAAGAAACCTAAAATCTTACATATCTTATATTTCTGGACAAAATTCCTCAACAAAATATTATCACACTGACTATACCAACATATAAAAATGATTATATACCATAACTAGGTAGTGTATACTCAAAATTAACACATTGTATGGAAAGAAATTAAAAGAAAACATACACAATTATATTATATTGCAAAAAACAGTTTGACAAAACACAACAGTCTTTTGTTATTAAAAAAACTCAAATGGGTCTGGGGATGGGGGAGAAAGGAGGGGAGAGGGAAATAAACAAGATAGAGATGCGATATGCATATGTACCGATTCATCATGAGGAATATATTTTGTTTCACAGACCTATACTAATAAAAAAGAAAAGAAAAAATTAGTAAGTTAGGAATAGAAGAATTTCCTCAACCTGATGAAATGCATCCATCAGAAATTTTTTTTTTTTCTTTGTCTTTTTGAGACAGGGTCTCGCTATGCAGTTCAGGCCGGCCTTGAGCTCACTTTGTAGCCCAGGCTGGTCTCGAACTCGAAACGATCCTCCTGCCTCGGTCTCCCGAGTGCTGGGATTACAGGCGTGCGCCACCACGCCCGGCTCCCATCAGAAATTTATAGCTAGCATGATAGTGATACCTTAGTGGCTTCTTCCAAGATAAGGTAAAAGACAAGGTTATCTCTCTTACACTTTTTATTCACATATTATAAGTACTAATATATTCAGTTACATTTCAGAATATAAGGTTAATATATAAAAATAAGGTATATTTCTATATACTATAAGTAATAATCCAAAAGGAAACAAATCCACTGATCATAATATCAAGAAAGTAACGTATTTACTGATAAATTAAAAAAAGTGACATACAATAAAAACTACAAAATGCTGAAATTAAAGAGGATAGAGATGAATAAGCAACACATCTTATGATCATCGACTGAAGAATGTACTATCATTAAAATGTCAACTCTTAAATTTTACTTGTAGATGTAATGCCTCCTGTGCCAGAGTCCTAGCTGGTTTCTTTGTACAAAATGACAAATTGATTTTAAAAATTGTATGGAATTTCAAGTGACCACAAATATTGAGGCAAACATTGGCCCCAAATGTTTTCAGTCATTTCAAGGGGTCCAAATGATATTGAAAGAGATGAAGTTGTAGGATTCATGCTTTCCAATATCAAAACTTGCCACAAAAGTATAAAAGTGAAGACAATGTGGTACTGGCACAAAGGAAGACAACTAGATAAATGAAATAGAATTCAGAGTCCAGAAATAAACATATGTGCATATGCGTTGTTGGATTTTGAGGAAGGCATTGCCATAATTGGTGGGATTCTTTTTAAAAAAAAAAGCTGCTTGGACAACTTATAGTCACAGGCAAAAGAATAAACTTGCTCCTTACTTCAACTGTGCACAAAACCTAACTCAAACAAAACACCTAAAAATATGATATAAAATTATCCCCCAAGTCTTAGAAATAAATCAAGGCAGTCAGCTTTCATGATAACCTTTGGCAGTAGATTCTAAGATTTTAAACTGAAATTAAAGCAATAAAGAAAAAATATAAATTCTACTTCATCCAAATTAAAAAGATTGTTTAAAACACATGATGAGGAAAGGAAATGAGATCTATGAATAGGAGAAAGAAACTGCAAATGATATATCTGTCCAGGATGTTCTATCCAGAATAGATAAAGGAATCTTACAATTCAACCACAAAAAAATTCAGTGATAAGAAGGCAAGGAATTTGAAGAGACATTTATCTATGGAAGACATAAAAATGTTCAGGGTTACTCAGTATCATTACGGCTAGAGAGATTCAAATAAAATCACAATCTAATTTCACTACACATGCACCCGGATAGCTATAAGCTAAGTGATGGAAATACAAAACATTGGTTGAGATGTGGAAAAATGGGAACCCTCACACATTAAGCTGGGAATTTAAAATGGTGCTTCTATGGTGGAAAATACATTGGTCGTATCTTAATAGTTAAAGAATTACTACACAACCCAACAATTCAAGTCTTAGTATGTAGGCAAAAGAACTAAAAACAGTATCTTCTCTCAATTGTTTCTACAGTGTTCTATTATTTCATTGTAGAGAACTTGTACCCGCTTGGTTAGGCTTATTTCCAAGTGTTTTATTTAAGCTGTTTTAGATGGAATTGTTCTGTGATTTCTTTCTTAGTAGATTAATTAATTATTGGTGTACAAAAAACTACTGTTTTTTAATGTAGCTATTATATGCTGGAACTTTTGCTGAATTTTTTTCATATCTCCACCTCTGCTGGTGGAGTTTTTAGGGTCTTCAAAATAAAGAATGATATTGTTTGCAAATACAAATAATTTGACTTCCTCTTTTCCTATTTGCATCCTTTTTATGTATTTTTCATGTGCAATTACTCTGGCTAAATTTTTAATAAGTAAAATGAGTATGAGTGATGAGAATGAACACCTTTGATGCCTTTCTGATTTTAGAGGACATGTTCTCAGTTTTCCTCATTTGAAATGATGTTGGTGATAATTTTGTTGTATATAATTATTATGTGGAGGAAAGATCTTTTTATAACTAGTTTTTTAGGTTTTACTATGAAGGGATATTGAATTTTGTCAAAGGCTATTTCTCTATCTTTTTAGATTATGATTTTACTTCTACTTATGGGGCATAGTACATTTATTTATTTTTTTTTTTTTGTTTGTTTTGTTTTGTTTTTCTCCGGTACCGGGAACCGAACTCACGACCTTGCGCTTGCCAGGCTAGCGCTTTTGCCGCTGAGCTAAATCCCCAGCCCCCATAGTACATTTATTGACTTTTGTATATTGAACTATCCTTGCTCCCTGGCTCATGGTTTAGCAGAATTAACATTTGATATGGCCATATACCAAAAGCAATCTATCAATTCAATATCATCCCCATCAAAATACCAGTAGCACCCTTTATGGAATTAGAGAAAAAAATCCTAAAATTCATGTGGATCTCTAAAAGATCCAGAATAGACAAAAGAGGACTGGGGATATAGCTCAGCAGCACAAGTGCCTGCCTGGGAAGCTCAGGGTCCTAAGTTTGATTTCCAGTACCAAAAAAAACAAAAACAAAAACAAAAACAAAAACAAAAAACAAAAAAACCCAAACCAAAACAGAATAGACAAAACAATTGTAAGAAAAAAAAAGCAAGGCTGGGGCATCATAATATTCAATTTCAAATTATACACAAGTCATATTAGCAAGCACAGTATGATATTGCTCAAAAGTAGGCAATAGACCAAACGGAGTAGAATAGGCAGCTCAGAAACAGATCCATGCAGCTACAGCCATCTAATTGTTGACAATGGAGTAAAAAACACATTTTGAAAAAAAATGTTTTTTTAAACAAATGATGCTGGGAAAACTAAGCATTCATATATAAAACATTGAACCAAATTCCTATCCCTCACCCTCTACAAAAATCAATTCAAAGTAAATAAAAGGCCCAGATGTAAGATCTGAAACTTTGATATGCGAGAAGCAAATGAGGAGAAACACTTGTCACAGAAATGGGCAAAGACTTACTGATAAGGACTCGAATGCTGCAGGAAATAACGATGAAAGTTAACAGAGAGTTACATCAAATTAGAAAGCTTCTGCACAGAGTGAATAGATTCTGCATGGAATGGGAGAAAATATTTACAAGATATTTTCTGGTTGAGGATTAATATTCAGAATATATAAAAAACTCAAAAGCATACACCCAAAACTCAAAATACTTAATGAATAAGTAATCAGATGAGCAGAATTCTCAAAAGAACTACAAAAAGCCAATGAATGTACCAGAAAATGTTCAACGTCTTTATCTATCAGAGGAATACAAACCAATACTGCATTAAGATTCTGTCTTATCACAGTCAGAATGGCTATCATTAGGAATATAAAAACAGTACAACCTGATGAAGATGTGGTAGAAAAGGAAACTTACTGCACTGTCAGTGGGAATGTAAACTAATAGAGCCACTATAAAAGTCAGTGTGGAGGTTCTTTAAAAACACTGAAATTAGAGCTACCATTTGATACAGCTATACCAGTCCTCAGTATATTCCCCAAATGATTAAAGTTATCATACTATGTTGACACCTGCATACCCATATGTATTGTGGCACAATTCAAAATAAACTGAATGCTGATGTCTGTCAATGGATAAAGAAACATAAAGAAAATGTGGTATATATACACAATGGAATATTTTTGGTCATAAAAATGGTGAAGCCAAATCATGAAATTTACAGGCAAATGGATGAAACTGGAGATCATCATGTTAAGCAAAGTAAGCCAGATTCAGAAAGTCAGTTATCACTTGTTTTCTCCTATATGTAGATCTAAAATATATTTACAAAAAGAAAGAAGAAATGGCAGGAAAGTAGATAGGAGACTTATTAGGGAAGTGAAGAGGGGTCAAGGGAGAGTAGAGGAAGGGGAGGAGGTAATGGGAGAGTTAAAGTAATTAAAGTGTGTTATAGGCATATACAAATATGTTGAAATAAAAGCCATTATTCCATACAACAAATATGAGCCAGTAACATTCAAAATAAGATTGAATAAAATAACTATAAATGGTTTTTCAAATTCAAACTTGTAAAAGAACATCCACACCAGCACTGTTCCCAATAGTCAAAAGATGAAAACAATGCAAATATACGTTAACTGATGAATGCATAAACAAAATGTGCTAGGTCTGTGCAGAGGGATTTTCTTCACCCATAAAAGGAAGTAAAAACACTGATACAGGCTTCAGGACGAATGGAACTTGAAAACACAACAACAAATGAGGAAAGTTACCACAAAAGGCTGCGTATTACACACGTCCATTTATATGTCATGTCCAGAATAGGCAATTCTACAGAATTAGAAATAAGATTAATAGTTGCCTAGGCCCAAAGAGGGTAGGAACGTTGATAATTGTAAAGTACAGGTTTTCAAATTGATAACATGTTCTACAATTCTACCAGTAATGATGGTTGCAACAATCTTTAAAAGTACTGAAAAACCAAAGAATTGTGCAGTTTAAATGCAGAAATAACATGGTATGTGGATATCTCAATCTGTTATTTGCAAAGAAAGAATAAAATAATATTCCACGTACCTACTAAGAGGAACAATGGATCAAAAAAGTCAAATTTTAACAGCTTCTTGACTTTTTCCACAAATGGATCTTGTGGGTTGTTGAGGGAATCAACGTTTACTCCAAATGACGTGCCAGTGATCACATCCATGCTGTAGGCTCCAAAGACACTGAGCAGAGAAAGACATAAAAAAATTAAACTTTGCACTTCTCTGCCATTCTTTTGTTAATTATGAGCAAGAAGTAGGAGTAAATTCATATGGCCAGGAAAGACAGAGACCCACATCCTGTTAGAACTACCTGTTGGGCAGTCTGGATACCCTATGTTCCCCTCACTTGCACTTGTTGGGTATTTATTGAGGGACAATAATGCAGCTTTCCTTTTGCCAAGGGTGACAAGGACATCAAGGTGATTGAAGCTGATACATACAGATAAATTACAATAGTGTGAGTGGGATGCGGAGAATAATACATACGCAAATGCCACATATCAGAAGGACAAGGGTGGAATAGTTAATTCTTCTAGGGTAAACAAGAAAGGTGATATGGACCTAGGGCTTAACTCATCAAAAAGTTGGTGATACAGCTTATTTTTTCACATGTCACACAATAGGAACACACTGTTCTGAGTTGCCTGCAGCATCATCCTTCTTATTCACACTCTTTTTTTCAAGCTCCTGATAGATCTATTTTCCCCTGACTCGAGGAATCTGAGGTTTCCCTCAGGCCAGAACCATTCCAGTAAAATATGGAAACCAAGACTTTTCCTAATTTAAAACTATAGTAAATCTCTCCAATTTGGACTTGCAGGATCCCGTATTTAAGTAAACACGTCTCCAGTTTGCTCAGTACAATCTCAATTTACACTCATGGCTCTTACATAATTCCAAATTTTTCAGTTTACCCAACAAATATTCTAGTTGCCCTACCCATATCCTCTCCAGAACCTTCATTCTGTTGATGTTAGAGGAATAAAAAGTGGTGAGCAAATAAGTATTTACTGTTTGTATGGCAATCTCTATAAACTTGTGAAGACATTTGAGTTAATTCCCACATTGCAACATTTGTGCCCAATGCAGGGCCTTCCAATAACTACAGCTGCCTTCTTCTCCCACCACTTCCCTTTACACTCACAAGTTTGGGACTATCATATTTTGTTTCTTCTAAACTATGTATTTTATTCTTCAGAACAGCCCAAAAGGTGAGTAAGCAGCTAAACTTCTCTTGACTCATATAGACACGTGGAAGCCTGTCCCCTAACTGCCCAACTTTCTCTTGGAAGACATCCTTTTTGGATGGCCTGTTGAAACTGTAACATAGCACTGCTGCTTTTCTCTGGTTACTGCAGTTACCCAGCCCCAGGAATTTCAGCTTCCTGGCAGGCAGCTGGAGAGTCTCATAACAGTTCAGAAGGCCAATGGGTGCACTGTTACTTACTGTTTCATGGAGACAGGTTCACCTTTCTTGGATTTCTGTCTCAGGTTTTTCACCAGTACATCTCCATACTGTTCAATGATGGGGAACATCTAAGCACAAAACACACCATGCTTAGGTAGATGAGGATAGGATACTCAAGTCCTGTAGTCTATGGCTTTCCCAAGTATGAAGCCATAACTGTCATTTATATTTGAATTTAAAAAGTTTAATTGGGCTATCTGCCTAAAATGTGATAGGCATATTCATAAATTATGAATTTTGATACTTTAAATCTCAAGGAAATTTAAAGGAAGATTACTAAATCAGCAAAAATAAAGTCTAAACCTCCCAGTAAATATCCTGCCTTTTCTACGATTAAATTTTTTCTAAGAAAGCAGATCTGCCTTTGTCAGAAGTAGATATTCTAGTGGGATTTTATTCTGATAGCCTTACTCTATAATAAACATATTTAAAAAATATTAGTGTGGGCATGTATGTTATGGTAGATGTATGCTTATGAATGTCTTATTGATATGTTTTATGTCCTAATACTGAACCTTATTTCTTTCAGAGCATAAAGATAAAATGTCATCTTTAGGATGTTCAAACTCAGAGCACCATTCTTTGAAAAGACACTCTACTCTTAATATCTATAGGTCTTCAGATTCATTCTTTAAGTTGAAGGTCCTTTTACTTTATTTTATTTTTTTTTTTTAGTGAGGACTGTCTTCTATTTTATTTTAAATATAGAAGAACCAAGACATATTAACAAACATAGACATAAATAAAGCTACATAAAAACAATAAAAGCAGTACAGAATTTCAGACAAGGTGATAGGAAATTAACAATGGTTGCTGTATTATGTATTGTTATCTTCAAACTGGTTACTCAGAAAAAAAATTAGCCATGTAAGACTGATCAAACAATTAAACATTAACTGTTCATTTCAATAAAGCAATAGAAATTAGTGGTACCATTATCTTAGCTATCATATACATATGTATATATATTCATATTTTTCCCCCTTCTTTCTTTCTTTTCTCTTTTCCCTCAGTCCTCTTATTTTATTACCTCCTTCAGTTTCCCTGTGGTGAAGGTTGGGGACAGCAGTGTTCTTATCCTCTTCCAGTCTTCATCCTCAGATATACTGATGGCTTTCTTCATAAATCCCACTGGGCCAAAAGACTACAGTCCAAAGAAAAAGATATTTGTTCCTACATGAGTTTTGGAGATTCCTACAATTATAATGATTTGTAGAAATGTATCACTGCTTAACAACTATTTACTGGCTTTGTGTCAGGTGACTTACCCTAGATCAGACAAGCAGCAAATATTTATTGGAAATGACCAGGAGATGGTGGAAGCACTTTCTAGGAGATGGTGGAAGCACTTTCACATCTGCAAAGTTTCTAGGTGGTTAGGAAACTCTTTTATGTAACAGGCAGGGCAAAAACGTACTATATTCTCCTGGGCTGAGCAGAGTGGAAGTAGATTAGTAACAGATAAGGGAGGCCTTAGACAAGTGTAGGTTGCCTTAGGCCATTTCTGTCTGTGTTTATATAGATATAAGCACTTTGATAATGGAAAGATTGGATATGTTGATTTTATAAATAGTAATACTTAATACTTAAAGGATAAGAATTCCAATTATTAATCTGTGGAAATAAGGTAATTTCATGAAAGTTCTTTCTGTTACATTATTTTTCTCCAGGGACAGATGAAAACAGAATGATGATTCCTTCTCCCACCTTGGAGCTGACAAATGTAAGATTTTCAAAACTTACCACCATGATTTAAAAATATATTCTCTATTAAAATGAACAGTTCCTGCCTGGGGACATAGGTGCACTGGACTGGGATTGTCACACCAGTGCAACCTGAGTCTGGGCTGTGCACGTGCTCTGAACTGCAAGGGGATGCTGGATCACACTGTCTGCCATCAGCTGACACCAATGTCTGTGTCTGAGACCTGGGATAACTAGATACAAATGAACAACTGCCGGAAAACCCCAGACTAAGTAGTGCTTCTCAGGGGTCACTAAGGGGCAAACCTGACCAACAGGAAAGCTAGGGACACTAGTGGCCTTTGCTGTGCAGCCACTGACGAGGGAAACTGGGCTTTCTGCCTCCGGTACCAAACATGAAAAAATGAAGGATGAAGACACAATCCCAGAACTCCACCCAAATCAGAACAAGTCCAGGAGACATTCACACAGGAGAACTTGGTAAACACATGCCTGAAATAGCTGAAATGATTGCAATGGAAGTAAAGAAACAACTCCATAAGGCCATAGAAGAAATGAGATCAGAAATAATCTCTCAGGCAAAAAATGAAATGACAAAAATAATGAAGGAAATGCTCAAAAAGTCTGAAGAAAAAACATATAAGAAAATAGAAGAACAAAGGCAATGGACAGAAGCATTCAATGAAAAATATAGAAAGGACTTAGAACGCATGAAGCAGATTCAAAGAGACTTCCAGGATATCAAAGTTTCCATTGAAAGCTGCCAAAACCACGTGAATTAAGCTGAAGATAGAATCTCAGACTTTGAAGACAGCATGGCAGCTAGCGACCATTAAGGAAAGGATCTTGTAAAATCAACAAGTGTCCAGGAAAAGTCAATTCAACAGCTGCAATACGAGGCAAAGAGAAATAATGTACAACTTGTAAGAGTTAATGAAACAGCAGGAGGCAACACAACTGACATAAAAAGAATATTTGCAGAAATAATAGCAGAAAATTTCCCAAGTATGGAAGCAGAACCTGGTATACAGGTAAATGATGCATATACAACTCCAACCAACCACAACCAAAATAAAACCACACCCAGACATA